TAGATAGTCGATATTGGAACAGCAGAGAAGTAATTGTTGCAAGCAATATCCACCAACAGAAACTAAAAGTAATGGATGAAAGTTTGAGGAAAAACAGGATATTTGCATAGTGTCAAAGTATCTCCCCTAATTGATTTATTAACAATAAGGGGGAAAATGGTAGCTTTACAGTGGAGAAACTGCCTTAATCAAGTGATTAAGGTTAATGTCATTAGTAAGACATATTAACATCATGCACTCCTTGTGAGTACATGCCAAAAATACACAGTCAAATCAAATCATGGAAAAACATGGAACCCAAACTGAGGAATAGTCTACAAAACAATTGACTGGTAGTCTTAAAATTTTGCAGTCATGAAAGACTGAGGAAGACTGAGAATAGTTTGGAAGAGACTAACTAGATATGACAACTAAATGTGAGATCCTGGATTGATTCCTGAAATAAAAAGTGGGAGACATCAGGGGAAAAACTGGTGAAATAAAAAAAAAATACTGAAGCTTAATTAATAGCATTGTGCTAATGTAAGTATCTTAATTTAATAATTGTATTATGGAAGGCTGTATAAATACATATGTAAGGCTGAATGAAGGGTGTATTTGTTATTGAACCCCAACACATGAGTCCATCATCCTACATGCACTGACTAAAAGAAATAACAAGCAGGGGCAGGGGTTTGCAGTGGAGAAAGGAAGGATCGTATAATTTATTATTACCTAATTGTCCAATCTGGACTATAGCTGAGCTCCTGCTCTTAAAAGACCCAACTCCCCAGTGGCATACAGGTCACATAGGGCAAAATCACAAGACACTGTTGGTTAGGGGTTCCACTCCTGTTAAGAGCTGATGAGTTGGAAGTGAAATAAGGCTAAAAAATCATTTCTTTATGTCTTGAAGACAGCTGTGAGGTCTGCTCCAATGTCTGTCTGTCTGGTTTCATAGAAAAATAGCCAAAGGGTTATTCCACCTAAGGGCTCAGGAGCTGTAACATAACTTAGGTCAAGATATTATCGTTAGCCTGCCAGAGCTCCAGAGCTCATGACTGTTAGGTCTTCTGCAGCCTCAAGGGTTAATGATTATCAGGAGGAAAGTCTGAGTCTATGAGGTATGTAGAGAGAGTGTAAAAAATGATTTCTAAAGCTACGGTCACAAATCAAATCAAATCAAAATCATGAGGACTCTCCATTTCATATGGTAGCTCACTGTACTATTTTGTAACCCTTCTATAAGTCTGAAATTATTTGAAAATGAAATTTAACAACAACAGAGATTCTAATGAGCAGCCAAGGATGATGAGAACCACTATGTAGTCTCTCTACCAGTGCTTCTCAAATTTTAACACACATATGAATTACCTGGAGACTCTTGTTAAAATGCAGATTTTGGTTCAGTACGGACTGGGGTACAGTCTCAGAGCCTGCATTTCTAATAAACTCCTGGGGAATGTGATGCTGCTGATCCTAAGACCACACTTTAAAATCATGAAGTGCCACTTTTCTGAGGCATGAATTTGTTTGCAAACCTTTTGAAGCTTGTGTGTGGGCATTAGGTACTCAGGCAGTGAGTGATGCCAGCAGACTGCTTAGTGGACAAGTTCTAGGTCAGTCTTACTCTTTTCTTCTTCTGGTGATAAACAAGGTAATTCTCTTGAAATGATTTACATTATTTTAGGGCATAGTGTCAGGTCGTAGAACCAGTATCTCCTGCAGTGCAAGGCCCATGTGGTGGTCAGGATAAAAAACCTTGCTGAACTTTGAATGGGAATTGTATTAAGCCTGTGTATTAATTTGGGGGAGAGTTACTGTTTTGACTATGTTGAATTTTCTAATCTGTGAACACAGCGGGCCTTTTCATTTATTTAGATCTTTGATATCTTCCACCAGCATTGTGGATTTTCCCCCATATAAATTCAAAATAGGTTTTGTTAGATTTTCACCTAAGTATTTCCTTTTTTTGGAGTAGTTGTAAGTAGTACAGTGGACCCTCCGTGCCCACGGGTTTCGCATCCATGGATTCAACCAACCACAAATCAAAAACATTTGAGAATGGCCCTGGCCATGTGGCTCAGTTGGTTAGAGCCTCATCCCAATACACCAAAGTTCTGGGTTCAATCCCCAGTCTGGGCACATACAAGAATCAGCTAATGAGTGCATGGATCGGTGGAGCAAAAGTCAATGTTTCTCTCTCTCTCTCTCAAATCAATGAATGGGAAAAAATTGAAAAAAAAAAACAAAAACAAAAAACCTGTTACGTTGTTGCTGATGTGTATGAGGTAGTTAGGCCTAAGATGGTTGCTTCTGTACTGAACACGTGTAGACTCTTTTTCTTGGTATATTTCTTAAACAATATGGTATAACAGTCATTTATATGCCATTTACATTGTAAATATAATAAGTATTATAAGTAATCTAGATACAATTTAAAATTTACTGGAGGAAGTGCATAGATGATATACAAACACCATTTTATACAAGGGGCTTGAGCCCCTGAGGAGTTTTGTATCTGCTTGGGAAGGGGGTGTGTCCGGGAACCAATCCTCTTCTGATATCAAGGAACCACTATTTTTATTTTTTAGTGTGTAAGTGTTCATTGATAATATACAGAAATAGAATTAATTTTTAAAAATATTTTATTTTTTATTTTTAGAGAGAGGGGAGGGGAAGGAGAAAGAGTGGGAGAGAAATATTAATGTGTGGTTGCCTCTCATGTGTCCCCTACTGGGGACCTGGCCTGCACCCTAGGCATGTGCCCTGACTGGGAATCGAACCAGCAATCCTTTGCTTCACAAGTCCGGGCTCAATCCACTGAGCTAAACCAGCGAGGGCAGAAATAGAATTAATTTTTATGTTTCTCTTGTATCCTGTGAACTTTCTAAATTTGCTGAACTCACTAGTTTTAGTTTTCTTTTATAGATTCTGCAGGATTTTCTACATAGCCTCATCACCTCCATTCCAGTCTGTATGCTTTTACTTATTTTGTTTGCTTTATTGCAGTTGCTAGAACTCAACAGTGCTATGGTGATATAAAGTGGTGAGAGTGGAAATCCTTGCTCTATTCCTGATTTTAATGTGGAAGTTACTCAGTCTTTCACCATTAAGTAAGATGGGTATGAGCTGTAGCTTTTTGGGGGATGGTCTTTATCAAGTTCAGCTAACTCTGCTATTCCTAACTTGAAGAGAGTTTTTTAAAATCATGAATAGTGTTGACTTTTGTAAATGATTTTCATGTTTCAATTGATATGGTTGTATGATTTTTTTTCTTTGGCTTGCTGATATGGCGGATTACACTAATTGATTTTCAAATCGAGTTGAATCAGCCTTGCATACCTGTAATAAATCTCAGTTGGTTATGGTGTATAATCCTTTTTATGTATTATTGGATTTAGATTGCTAATATTTTGTTGACAATTTTTGCATCTAAGTGCATGACATAGGTAGGTCTATAGTTTTTTTGTTTTGATTTTTAAACTATACACTACTACCTTTGTCTGATTTTGGTATCAGGCTGATACTGGCTTCATAAAATAAATTGGAAAGTATTTTTTCCTCTCTATTTCATGGAAGAGATTGTGTAAAATTAGTTTTAATTTTAAAAATTCAATAGCATTCTCCAGTAAAACCATCTGAGCCTGGAGGTTTCCATTCAAGAGAATTTTGAATTCCCCACAGTTGATGAGAAAAATGTTTCATTACTTTACCAGAGGAACAGTGTCAGAAAGGACCAAGCCCCACCCTTTCATGCCACCTCACTGCAGCTGGTCCTTTTCACCCCTTGGGTGATTTCAAGGTTAGGGATGGAGATGACAAGAAGCCCCCTCCCCCCACACCCCGTTGCGGGTACCCCAGGTGTTTCCTCACAAGGCAGGCCACAGATGCTGAGGGTGGGATGGAGGTGCGTCATCAAGGTTCTACATTAAAGAATAAGCAGGGGAAGCAGGTGGGGTGTTCCTGGCAACCCCCATCCTCTTGTGGTCATGGGGCTTGATAACAACAGGTGCCAAATCTGGAGACAGACACCAAGATGAAAAGGTCCTGGGCGAGGGCTCCTACTGTGTTCTCGATGTTATCACTGTGAGTGTAACAGCAAGGGGAGGCAGGTGTTAGGCTTTAAAAAAGAACGTTTGAAATTGGGAAAGAAAGGCCATAGCAGAGAAGCCAGACTGCACTTTGAGTAACATGCAGATGAGCCCCAGGGCTGCCCAAAATTCTTATAAGGGCATGTTCAGCATCACAGGCCTATTTCATTGTGCATGCAAATGGTAGACCTGCTGTGCGCATACTTGGCCACACCACACACATTTGTGCGAGCAGATGCTTGTATCTCAGGCTGGCTCAGGTATCTGCAATGTGCCTGGGGCTGAGTCTCCAAGGTGTCTCAGTGCCTGTCTGGAGTGGACTCCCTGCACAGCAGACTAGCCTGTGCTTCCCAGCTGGAAGCTGATGCCCATTGAGCCTTGTTGGGGGATGTGAAGGCATGTGCTTTGGGTGACAGTAGCAGGAGAGGGAGGTGCTGAGGAGCTGGCAGGAGCCTGCATGGGTATAAATTCCATGAAGGGGTGGAGGGGTCAGGTTTATTCAACTTGCTTAAGGTCACATAGTAAGTGGCAGAGTCAAGGCCTGATTCTAGGTTGATCTGATATAAGAGTTATAAGCAATGTGCCTTAGTTTTGTCATGTGTACAATGGAGAAAATAATAGTCTTTACCTCCCAGTATAGTCATGAGGAGTAAATGAGGTAATCATGTAACAATCTAGCATATGGTCTAGGTAGAACATGTTAAGTGCTCAACAATATTAGCCATTATGATTATAATATTAATATGCCACTTTATCACCAAAGGCAGAATGAAACTGATAGAAAAATTTAACATTAATACAAATAAGGTGATTTTAGAGGTGTTTCTGGTTCATAGACATATGAAGTCTCATTAGAAACTAATTTAAAGATTGGCATTCCTCCAAAATGAGCCCATCTGTCAGCTTGTCCCTCTGCCTTGATCCTAGATGGAGTTGCTCTTCCGCCTGCTCCTCAGAATCTCTCTGTACAATCGATCAACATGAAGCATCTCTTGACGTGGAGCCCAGTGACCATGCCTGGAGAAATAACACACTATTCTGTTGAGTACCAGGGGTGAGTTTCTAGTTCTGTGGCGTTTTCCCCTTAGTTTTTCTCCCTCTGACAGTAGTTTATTGCTGGAGGCACAGAGCCCAAGGAGGCTTTGTGAGCCTGGGGATAGATTACCTCCAGTGACTGGCTGCCTCTGTCTGGGCTGGCATTGGGAAAGTTGAAGAAGCAAGGGAAAGTATCCTGTGTATTTGACAGTGAACTCTCTGGGAACCCAAATGTGTTTAAACACATTTTGCTGGAATTTCTTGTCAATGGTGAATCAGTTGTGCAATGCTGAAGAAAATCTGAAGAAATGAGTTCAACTCTGACTTCAGGTGGATAGGTCACTGGAGACTCAGATCCCTGGGGTGGGGGGAAACCTCAGTTTTCCTGCCTATGAGCCAAGACAAATTGTGACCCTGGGGCCAAGCAGGCTCTGCTCCTCTGCAGGTGCTCAGGCCCTCAGAGCCATTGAGGAGATACGGGGAACAAAGGTGCTCAATATATTTCATCAACAATAAATACAAGCTGAGCACCTACATGTGTAGACATTTTTCTAGCTCAGGATACAGTCACCAAGGTTCCTGGGTATAGGGACCTTACATTTAGGGAAGGAGACAGCCAGTAAAAATGTTTAAAAAAACAACAATCTAGATTTGCACTGTCTAGTGTGGTAGCCACTAGACACAGATAGCTATTTAAATTTAACAAAAATGTCTGTTTTCCAGCTGCACTAGTCGCATTGCAAACTCCCAATAGCCACATGTGACAGTGGCTACCATATTGAACAACACCAATGTAGAACATACTCATCATCACAGCAAGTTCTACTGGGCAGCCCTGCTCTAGGTAACTTCAGATAGTTATCAGTGCTGGGAGGAAGCTAAAAGGCTGATGCAATAAGACAGTTGACTCTGTGGCTTTTTTTTTATTAAGTGCTCAGGGAAGGCCTGTCTGAGGAGCCCACATCTGAAGAACAGAAGGAGCCATCCAATATGAACAGCAGAGACAGAGAATTTGAGACAGTGAACAGCTAGTTAGAGGTCCTGAGGGAAAGAGCTCAGCGAGGAGGCCAGTGTGGAGGAAAGAGCGCGCCATATGTACGGGTGGAGTGAGAGAGAGGCCAGGGAAAAGAGTTTGGATTCTATTCTCAGTGTCTAAGAAGCCATTAAGGATAGAAATGTCATGATTTGCTAGGTGATGAATGGTTTGAAGAATGGCAGGAGTGGAGGCTGGAAAATCAGTTGGGAGATTATAGCAAGGCAACGGATGATAGTAGCTGAGATTGGGGTAGTGACTGTGGAGATGGAGAGACCTGGACACATTGAGGTTTATGCTGATGTTTCCCTTCTTTGGTCATAAAAGGAGTAAGGAAGAATGAATGGTTGGTCAGGGCGGAGGGTGGAGGAACTGGAATGTGGAGCAAATGCTCATTTTGCTGACCCACAAAAAGCAGGTGAATGAAGCAGTTACTTGCAGCCCTCACTGAGCTTGCACAGAAGGGCCTGGTGTAACACTGCGCCTTCCTCTCTTTGGCCAGAGAGTATGAGAGCCTGTACATGAGCCACGTCTGGATCCCCAGCAGCAGGTGCTCGCCTACCAAAGTCCCTGAGTGTGACGTTACTGATGACATCACTGCCACTGTGCCGTACAACCTCCGTGTCAGGGCCACCCTAGGCTCACAGAACTCAGCCTGGAGCAACCTGATGCACCCCTTTAATCGAAACTCAAGTAAGATATTTCTCTCTGTGCTACCCCACTGCCACCAGACTTCCCCTTCAGGAACTGTTCTCTGAGTTTTTCAGGATTCTTTTTAGCATTAGTCTTGTAAAACTGGAGTACTATGAACACAAACAACCCTAACTGGTTCATTTAAAACAAAAATGACAACTGCTTCCCACATGTACTCTTTCTCATTTTGAAAGAGGCTTTTAAAGTCATTCTCTATTTCTGTCAGTGTCTGCAGGTGGTGGGAATGCTGACATTGTGAAGCTGCTCTGGAAGTGGGGAGATAGGGCAAATATATGACTTTTTTTACAGGAATAGTACCTGGAAAATGATTGAGAAGAAGTAAAGGAAGAATACAGATAGGTGGCCAGCTTTGGCAGAGCACAAACAATGGCCAATGTATAAAAAGGTGTGTGTATTTGGGAGTAGCAGGAGCAAGGACTGAATGGCCAGTGGGTGGGGAAACAGCTGGTCACTTTGATGTGAAGGCAATCAAACCAGTAGAGGGAAATCATGGAAAAAGAGAGTGTCTAGACCAGGTTTGTCTTATAGAGCAATCACTCCGGCTGCTATGCAAGAGGGAACTGGAGTAGGTCAAGTGTAGGTCAACAGGGAAAGAGTGAGGAAGGCATCCTGAGCCTAGTAGAGGGGGAAAGGATGGGGAAAAGAGGAAAAATTTGAGTCATGGGTTAATTAGAACAGAGCTTGAGGACCAGTCATTGGGAAAGACAACGATAGCGTTCCACCTGGGGTTGGTGAGAATGTCATCCAAGGCAGAGAACCCAGGAGGTGATATGGACTCTGACCAGTGGTGCCTGTGATGTCGTGGATGCAATGAACAAATTCACACATACTGCAGAAGTCCTATGGAGAAAAAGGGATGTCATGGCCACTCTCTAAGTGAGAGAGCACCCTGACCCTTGCCTGGACAGGTTTTTATTGCTTTTCTGGGAGCATTCCTCAAGGAAGGTCTTCATTCATCATTGTCAGGCAGTAATGATCAAACAATAGATAACATTCAAAGAAATATGAGGGCTTATTCTGAGTCAGGGTCAGTTAGCTAAAGGGCCATAAAACTTTGGGAAACAGCCCTGGCTGGTGTAGCTCAGTGGATTGAGCGCAGGCCTGTGAAGCAAAGGGTTGCTGGTTCGATTCCCAGTCAGGGCACATGCCTGGGTTGCAGGCCAGGTCCCCAGTAGGGGACACATGAGAGGCAACCACACATTGATGTTTCTCTCCTTCTCTTTCTCTCTCCTTTCCCCTTTCTCTAAAAATAAATAAATAAAATATTTTTAAAAAACTTTGGGAAACAAACTCATGTTATGCTTGGACCCTTATCGGAAAATTGAGTACATTGTTAGCAAAGCAGTCTTCATAGGATTTTATGCATTCTTTCTTAGGTCTGATCACCTAGGGGAATTTCCCATTACTGCCCAGGGCTGCACCGCCTCCAACATTGTTTCAGGCTTAAGTCAGGCAGAAGAAATAAGGCAGTCAAGAGATTAGGAGACTTCTTGCAGACATGATGAGGAATCAGGATATGTCAAAGCTGAGAGTTCATAACTCCCTTTTTCTATAGCCCCCCCCCCAAGTCCTTTCCTGAGGGTCCCTTCATGACCATCCCTGTCTTAGATTGTCCATCCCTTGAGGAATCTTACCTGTCATAAGCTAACCAATCATCTGCCTGGGCCAAGCAGGGTGAAGTAAAAGGGGGCAGAAATGGCTCCCTTACCAGGAAGATAAGCTTTGTCTCCTCAGTGGCTTATGGTCCCAAGGTCTCTTTACTCAGCCTTAGCCCTGGGGTTACAGCTTCTGAAACTAGGCAGGGTAGTCCCCAAGGAGGCTTCAACTAGTCTTGAGAAATAGGAGACACTTCTGGCTTTGGGCTCTTTGACATAGAGATTCCTACAAGACATCATGCCAAGATGTCTGATTGGCACCTGGGAATCAGGCTCTGGGACTCAGGTCAAGGCCAGACACACAGAACAAAGTTAATAGCTAAAGGCTTTGGGGCAGATGCAGTTGTCCAGGAACAAGATGTAAGAACAGAGATAACTCAGAACACAATTCTGGGAAACTTCAGGGTTTAAAAAGCAGGTAGAGGGAAGGGTACCAGTGAGTGGGTGGATAGGAGAATAGAAGAGCTGCTGACAGGCCTAAAGCAGGCCCCCGAATGTGTCCTTGAGAACATGGCTTCATGGGTCAGTGGGGATGGTTGTTAGGCTGCTGAGTGGAGGATTGAGTGCAGGTGGGAAGGAGCAATGCAGATCCTCCTCTGAGACAGATGTGGGTGATACTGTGACCAGTCTGAAGCTGCAAGAGGTGCAAGGGAAAGGCCTTGGTGACCTCTTTTCTTCTTGGTGTGACAGACGATCATCAGCTGTGAGGACAAAGGAAGGTTAGGAGCAGCACGGACAGTAATGGGATGAGTCAGATGTTACTGGGCAGTGTATAAAATTGGATAGATATCAGGGGGTTTTAGAAGGTGATGGTGGTGGCAGTGGAGAGTCCAAGCTGGAAGTGGCTGAGGAAGGTGAAGACAGATTTGAAGGGGAAGTTGGCCCTCTAGAGTTAGATGGATGTGGTTCAAATCCAGCTCAGCCATTGATAACTGGGCCCCTCCCTGCCTCCTTTCTGTAAGAAGGGCAACAGTTTGCCTCAAAGTTTACTTGTTTCATCTATACAAGATGAAATGTGTAAATGCTCAATGCAGTGCTATTCCGTTACAGTACTCAGCTATTGTTAAGTATTATTATTATTATCGCCCTAGGTATGCCTAAGTAGAGAGCTAGAGCAGAGGAAGGAAGAGGTGAGGCAGGAATGAGACCATTGGAATATGATACCAATAGGAATTTTGATGTAGAATGTGAGATTTTTCTGCCCAGACACTGGGAGGATCTAGTAGAAGCAGTGGGATTCCAGATCTGGGCACTGGTGGAGGCTGAGGGGCACCAGAACAGGGTACAACTCTGCCCACAGTGCCCAGGTATCATCCACCAGCCCCTCCCTCAGGCTGCTGGTAGCACTGGGCTCCAGCCAAGACCATTGCTGGGGGCTTGGCAGCTGTTGTTGGAAAGGAAGGCAGAGGTCAGAGGGAGATAAGGAAGTGCCTACAAAATTGTGTGGGTGGGGGTTTGTGCAGTAACAACTTGTGCTTGAGAAGGCCATTATAAACAGGAAAAAGTTTTGCCGCAGGAGGAGCTGAAGAACAGGAGTCTCTGTACCTGCCCCAGAAGGTGGAAGATGTAGTCCTGTGTGACTGCTGTGCAGGTGGAGTTAGCTACAGAGCTGGGATGGAATCGTGACGCTTAAGGGCATTAAGTCTCTTCCTTTTTTTCAGAGCAGCTTTTTATTTTTTTTCCAGAGAAGCTTTAAAACAAGACTTTTCATATGTTTAGGGAGAAGTCACACTGGCCTTTTTCAGAGGCAAAGGAAGAGACTTAATGCCCTAAACATATGAAAAGTCTTCTCCCTAAACATATGAAAAGTCTTGTTTTAAAGCTTCTCTGGAAAAAAATAAAAAGCTGCTCTGAAAAAGATCTATTCTTACAGGGAAGCCTTTTTTGAGAGCAGAGGTTCTTAACCTTGATTGCACATGGAGTCACAGGAATGAGCACCACTCATCCCTTGGGACCACTTATATCAGGGGCACATCCCGGAGCCTGATTTAAATAATTTATGTGCATCCTATTCACTGGGAGTTTAAAATTCTCCCCAGGTTATTCTCATGAATATCCAGATCCAAGATCCATGAGTACATAGGCTAAACATCCCACAGAACAGAGTCTAGAAGCTTGGGAAAGATATGGGCTCAAATTCTGGCCACTAACTGTGTGACTTTGGGAGAGTCACTTAACCTCTCTGAGGCTCAATTACATCGTCTGTACAACAGATGCATTGTTTACTTTCTTAAACTTGCTGGGTGGATAAAATGAATATGTACAGTGCATAGGGCAGGGGTTCCTGCTCCAACACTGCCAAAATATTCTCTGAACTAAATTGACTTCAGGTCATTTTTTCTAATTCTATTCTCAATAAAGATGGAAATCGGAAGATACGATTCTAATCATGTTTGACCTAGAACTGGAGGAGTCAAATATCTGTCCTCCTTCTGGAGGTGTTTCAGAGGTAGTACTGTTGGTGCTCTGTGCTCATTTGAAGCCTCTGGACTAGGTATGTTTTTACATAGTTGGTCCCTGACTTCCCAAGTCCTCCTGTCCCCTGTCCAGGCAGCTTTTCAAATGCCAGGAAATGTTTTGCTCTCTGAAAACTCCCTGCAGGAAATGACTTTCCTTTGAGTGTCCACTGACCTCAATGTAGGGGGATCTGGCCCAGAACATGCTCCACGCTACTTCTCCAGTCACCGCCAACAATCAGGGGCCCCTTCTGGTCCTGCAGTGCCTGGATCTGAGAGGAAAGGATGGATCCATCATCACTAGCCAGGGAGTAGAGACTGCCTGCCTGTGCCCTTCTGTTCTTGGTTTGCCAAGGGGTAGAGTCCACGGAGACTGCTGGACAATCTGTTTAGGATCTAGAAATGTGAAGGATAGTGTTCGTGCTTGTGCTGTAATTTCTAGAGTTGGTTATTGGAATTTGTCAAACCTTCTGGTTTTCCGATATCCCCCATTAAGGATCCTTGGGCTGAGAATAGAATGGTCCATTCACAGGCTGCCGATATGCTGATGTTTGTTTGGTTTGCAGGCCCGCACTCAGTCCATGAGCTATACCAGCCAGGGCTGATTTGCTGATGTTTGAAAGTCATCAGCAGCCAGTTCATGTCACCAATCCATGTGAATTGTACTAATATTTGTCTTTTGAAAAACTTTCTCATTATTTAAAGAGCATTCACTGAGCACCTGCCGGGTACAGGAGAGCATTGGTGGACATGCTGCTACGTGCTGTAGAGCTACTACATCCAGCCCTCTCCCTTCCCAGGAGCCTGGCATTTTTCCACCAATGACTTGGGCAGAGTTTCCCAGAACAGAAATCAGTCCTGTGTGGGGCTGGCTTTGATTCATCTCTTGTCTTGCCAACAGCTTTTCTAACCCCACCTGGAATGGAGGTCACCAAGGATGGCTTCTACCTGGTTATTAAGCTGGAAGACCTGGGGCCCCAGTTTGAGTTCCTAGTGGCCTACTGGAAGAGGGAGCCTGGTGCTAAGGTAAGACTTCGGGCCTTGGCCTTTGAGTCAGACTTTGGGGAAGGAGCCACAGGCCTGTGAGAGGTGGTTGAAAGAAGCCAGCCCCTGCAGTGCTCATTGTGTGGGGTGGCCTGAGGATGACCAGGCCTAAGTGAAGTCTGGGGAAGAAGAGATGGGAGTAGGCTGACAATCTCAGTAGCCTCTTCTTCAAATAACTTCCTTGGTTCCAACCCAGGCCTTGGCTGGGTGCCTTCTCAGGCCAGATTTACTGAAGTATGGGGATTGCCTTCTTGCTGTAAACTTGAACATACTGGGATCCATACTACTTTTTCGATGCATTTCTTTTCCCATATCAGCTTGCCTTCTCAGCTCTCTGCCTGACATGTTTAGGTGCAGCAGACCAGGGTGTTCCAGATCAACTGGATGATTTCAACAGCATATGTGGCTGGCACAAGCCTCTTTAGGGTGTGCATCTGGGCAGGGTGCAGGAGTCAGGGCAGAGAGCCAAGAACTGGCTTCTGGATTACCCTAATTATGAGCCAGTGGGTCACACAGAATGCCTAGACGGGGTGCTGCCCCTCCCTGTGGGACCGCTGCTACATGCTGGGGTGGGTGGGAGGTCAGCTCTTTCAGAGGAGACGGTCAAACAGGAGCAGCTGCACCAGCAGAAGAGGTGGAGCTTGAGTAGGAACTACAGAACAGTCAGAGCTGTGGAAGCTCTGTGTGTCAATACGGTGACAAGGCCCACTCCGGTCAGCACAAACAAAAGCAGACTTTGTCATAGGGATTAATATGGTGCAATAAGGAGCTCTCACAGAATCTATGAGAGAGATGGCCCAGAGCCAGGCTGCAGCATGGCTTCCTTCCCCAAGAACCCTTGCCTGTGGAGTCCTTGCTTCTCTCCGGTGGGTCCTCTCTATTGCACTCTTTTTGTGGCCTTCTCCTCAGCTTACTCCCAGGCCCTGACTCCTGCACATTCCTCCTTACTCATTCCTGTGGTTGCGCCTGACCAGCCCCTCAAGTCCTCTCAGTCATGACTCCCCCTCACTGTGTCCTCTTCCCTTTGTCCCTGTTTATAGCTCCAGATATTGCCAAGACCAAATCCCAAGAGAGGAAATCTGATTGGTCCTGTTTATCTTATTAGGCTAAGCTTAGGGGTTACAGGTTGCTGGCTGGTCTCTGATGGACCCTTCTGAGACCAGGGGTACCCCTGTCCTCACAGCATTATCTTGGGGAGCAGGGCACATGTCCCAGCACCCATTCAACAGGGCCAGTAGGTTGAGTAGCTTCCCCTGGAAGGTGGTATGGGTAGGTGGAATGGTCATTAACAATGGTTTCCGGTATTTACTCCTCCTGGGTCAGGGACCAGTGGTAGGACACGGCGTTGCCAGCTAGGCAGATGGAGTGGTGTGGGGGACAGATCAGGACCTGGGCAGGAAGGAGCATGTGGCTCCCTCAGATTCTCTGGAATGGAGCCCTCTCTCCACCCTTGGTAACTGGGAGAGGAACATGCACACTGAGTCATCTGGGCTTTGCACAAACAAGCCTCCACAGGTTCAGACATGGAGCACAGGCCTCAGGGGGTGGGTAGAGTGGAAGGATGTACAGATGGATTAACAGGTGGATAGATGGATGTGTGAGGAGGCACTGCCCACTGGTTCCATTGCTCCTGTGCACTCATCCCCCACCCCCCGCCAACTCAGTCATATTTCCAACCTTCAGTTCCCTGCTCACGTTATCTCATCAGAGAGGTCTTCCCCAGCCATTCTGTTTAGTGCATCCTCATTACTCTGCCTTCTTGCTCTGCTTCATTTTTCTTACCCCCACCTGATATTATATACTGTCTGTCTTCTCCCATATAAGTTCCATGAGAGCAGTGCCTACAACGGTGCTTGACACATAGTAGGTGCATAATAAACACATATGAATGAATGAATGCATGAGAAGGAATATTTTGTATGCAGCCTGGAAAGGAAATATCTGCAGCTTTTCTTCCCTGGCTCATCTCTCCCTTTCCTGTCTCGTTTCCCTCAGTGTGTAACTGTTTTCTGCTCTCCTAAAGGAACATGTCAAAACAGTGAGGAGCAGGGGCGTTCCAGTTCACCTGGAAACCATGGAGCCCGGGGCTGTGTACTGTGTGAAGGCCCAGACATTTGTGAAGGCCATCGGGAGGCACAGTGCCTTCAGCCAGGCAGAATGCATCAAGGTGCAAGGTAAGGACGACCTATCTTTTCTCTGGAGCCCTGCACAGAGGACAGTACCTCCTGAAGGATGCTCAGCTGTCTGCTGCTGGGTTTCTTTGGTTCTCAGTCTCCCCTAGTCTCACTGACCTGCTTCCTGGGTCTGGATGGATTCCTGTGGTGACAGTGTGCTTCCCTCCAGGATTATAGGGGAGAGTCCACCCTGGGGCTGGGTGGGGTCACTTGAGCAGCTGTCTGGAACACTTTCCCCTGAAAGGTCCCTGAAGGCCAGATATTGCAAGGTTGGCTTAGCAGGTGAGTCGTGGGGAGTTGCAGGGAAAGCAGCCAGGAGCTTGAGAGTCAGACCCTGTGAGGAGGCAGCCCATCGTATATCACAGCTGCTTTCAGCTAGGAGAGAACTATGAGAAATCTATAGATTCTTGTTTGACTTAATTTTTTTCCCTTGAAATTTTTTAAGGTCTAAAACTCCACAATGTTTAAAAACCCTTGCTAAAAATACAAAACAAAACCCCACATCTCCTGATTCTGCCACTCAAACACCACTAGGGACATTTTTGTATATACTTTCTAGCCTTTAACAAAATAATTATTATTTTGAATATTTAGTACATTAATAAGTTTCAAAACATATAAGCTACACATGGAAGCTCTCTGTTCTTTCTTTTTCAGCACAAATGGCAGCAGACTCTGCACTAGTCTGAATCTTATCTTTTCCACTTTATGTATCTCATAGATTTTCCCATATCTATACAGAACTTCCTCATCTTTCTTTATGTCTACATAGTATTCCCCTTTGTGTATATATGACTGATTTAACTAGCTTCCTATTGATGGACATTTAGTGCTCCCCCCCATATTTTGCTACTGCAGGCAATGCTTTAATTAGTTACTGTGCACATAGACCGTTTTGCTATTATACTTGAAGGATATATTCCTGGAGGTGGAGTTGCTTTGTCAGAAGCAAGCACATCTGAAGTCTGACTGCTGCCCCCAACTGCTCTCCAAAGGGGTGTCATCCTGCCATCATTGCCCACGTGTAGACACACGTGGCAGGTGGATTGCACATATGCTTTGTGCCTGCTTTTCCACAGATATCCATCACATTTCCCACGCAGATTTTCTGATGGCCACTTTGTAACTACCGTTTGAGACTGGATAAGTCGAGCTTGTTCAAAAATTCAAACACAGAAGGATATAAAGTAAGAGGTACACATTTTCCACTGAGGAGGTTTATTTTGGCAAGTTTGGCATTTAACCTGCTGGTTACTATGTGATACCAATACTCAGAGGCACAAATGGGCCTGCACTTTGCCTACTGTTCCGTTTGTTCATTGTCTTCACTCAGTGGTATATTGTAAACATCTTCCATGTCAGCACACACGGACCTACCTCATCTGGAGAGAAGATGCACAATGAGCCAATGCATGTATGTGCCGAAATATATGTAATTAATGGGCATATTTTGTGCTTTCCAGTCTTTGTTACTGTAAACCATGCTGTAGTGAACAGGCTTGTATATATCCTAGTGCCCATTTTAATAGCTGAATTATTAACCTGTGCTGATGTCCCATAATAAATTAAGTCATCTTCTATTTGGGGGTATTTAGGTCATCTTCATGCTTCAGGTCATTTCCATGTGCTTTTGAAGATGATGGTCATTGATTGATTGACCGATTCATTGAATGAATATTTATGGAGCATTGACTATGGGCCACATGCTGGTTGAGTCCCTGGGATACAGCAGGGATGTCCCTGTTCTCGGGGAGCTTACCTTCTAGTTGAAGAGACAGGCTACAGACAAGTAAACGAATGAGGCAGCTTCCCTTGTTGGTACGTGCTGTGGTGAAAATACGCAGCACGGCAGGAGGCGGGGGAGGTGCCGGTGTGTGCCTTTGGGCAGAGACGAGACTGGTTATGAGGCTGAGGGGAGCAGGTGCAGCTGAGCTGCTTTACGCAACCGTTGTTTCCTTCCTTGGAATTACTTATTTTTTTTGGAATCTACTCACCAAAGTAGATGAAAGGGTGTGAACATTTATTTGTGTATCTCTTGATGTGTACTGCCAAAAGGTTTCCCCAAAGCACTGAAGCACAGTGCAGTGCCCCCAGGCCCATGTGTGAGGCCACCTTTTTGCAGCCTCACTGGCTGTGCCGCCTGTCACACTGCGGGGGAGCCATGCAGTCTACAGGGCCTAACGAAGTTGCGTGAGGTTACAAGATGGAAAAATAACCCACCCCCTTCTGCATCTCCAGATGCTCCCACATGGTATTTTCTGATCCATTTACTGAGTAAAATGACCGTAGGCTTGGGCACCAGCCCAATGTGTGTGACTCGGAATAAGTTACTTAACTATAGTAGGGGCTTGATAAATGATAGTTATTATGTGACTGTTTTCTGGACTTAGTATTTTCTTCCATAAGATGAAACTGGGCCAGAAGCAAATTGTGAAACACACTTTGTTTCAGTTACCGCCCAGTTCCAGTCCTTGCTATTCTTTTTTGGCAGCCCCCCCCCCCCCCCCCCGCCATCCTGCTGGGGGCCTGGCACTCTGCCCTCCTTCTGGCAGCGGCCCCAGGCTCAAAATGGCTGGGGGCTTAACAGTTGATGCTCCTCCCCTTTCCCCAAAAAAGAGATTTTAATCTTCCCTGGGGCTTTCTGGAAACCAAGCCTTAATTTGGATTCTAGAAAGATGGTTTTAATGGTGGTAATTTTAGTCACTAGGGCATACATCAGATCTCAGGATGTTGGTATCTGCTATCTTGCCCACGCACAGAACCAACTCCAGGAAAGTGAGGATGGCCCCGGATTGGAGATTTCATCTTCACTGTGTCTCCTAAGCCTGTTCTTATCTTTTCATTTGCAGAAGAGACCCCCCCCCTGGTGCTGGCCCTGACTGCGTTTGCTGGCTTCGTGCTGATCCTTGTGGTCGTGCTGCTGTCCGTCTGGAAGATGGGCCAGCTGCTCCGGTACTCCTGCTGCCCGGCGGTGGTGCTGCCCGACACCTTGGTAAGAGTGTCCCGTTTTCCTTTCAGCGTGATGCTGACCAGATGTAGTTTGGGCTCTGGTTGGGCCTGGGCACAGTTTCCTGGTTCACAAGGAGGGCAGAAGGACATGTACAGGACTTCGCTTCTAATTAGAGGGGCTGGGAGAGGCCTCCCTTCTCCAGGGAGTGGGGACCTTCCTCGGCCAGACCGCTGCTGCTTGCCCCCAGGACCTGGCAGGGCCAAGAGAGTGGGTGTGTCGCTCAGCCTTGGTGCTTGGCAGTTCAGAGTCACACCCAGTCTCACCCTTCCAGACCGGCCTGCTGAGTGTTCTTGGCCCCTTCCCATGATTATAACAGCAGCTGCATCCAGTAACTTGTTCTGACACAACTTACTCAGTTCTCCTGCCAAGAACCTCATTGGCTCTCAGGGTGAAGTACATGGGTATGAATATGGGAACATAGACTGTGCTTTGCCTTTGGCTGGGGGCTGGGAACAATCTGGACCTGCCTAGTAACTGCCAAAAGTTAGAGTCCCCATCTGTTTTCTCAGTCCCTTGCAAGTGTGGGATTCTTACCATACTCCTGAGGACACTGGTCCACAGGTCTGAAGCTCTCCGGTGGGGGCAGGTCCTGTGTGCCCATGCCAGGGTCAGGGAGAAGCACAAGCAGGCCTCCAGCGCAGTCCCCGCATTCCATCTGGCTGCCTCCCATGCCCCTCCCCCCAGACCTCAACACGCAAAGCAGCACAAAAACAAAACAAAACGACAAACAAAGACGAACTTCAGAGATTTCTCTCAGCTGTCTCCTGTGAGGAGGGAGTTAGCAGTCGGCTTCCCAGAAGCAAGGAGAGCTGGAACTGCCTGCAAGCATTCCTGCAGTCCTACATCGGCCTGGAATCACTGTGGAAGGTGTCACTCTTGTGACAACTGCATGGCCCTGATAGCAAGGGCCATACTCTTCCTACACCGGAGGAAGGATTCTCCCTAATCCAGTCTTCAGGACACCGCTTTACCTTGCCACCCTAAGCCTGTTCTTTTCTCTCCAGTACTTCCAGGTAGTCACGACCTTAGGTGAGACTAGTGCAGGGACTAGCACCAGGCACTATTCTAGGGCTTTGCATACACAGCATCGACTCCTTTCATTTCCCCCTTTTCATAATGCTTACCAACGTGCTGTTCATCAGTCCCCCGCTCCACCAGTGCACTCCGAATGGTTTACTAAATGGTTCACGGCTAAACACGAAGGCCATGTGGTGTATGAGACACAGGAGACAGGGCAGGCCTCATTCCCTTCCGCAGTGACTCCAGGGGCTCAAAGATACTGAAGCAGAAAAAGATGTGTATTCTGCAGTCGTTGGGGTCGTGTTTTATAAATGTCCATTGGGTCAAATGTTGGATAATACTGTTCATATGTTTTGTATAGTTCTATTAGTTATTGAGAGAGACGGCAAGATTTTCAGTGTGAGTGTGGGTGTGTCTGTTTCTCCTTTTATGTCAGTTTTTCCTTCATGTATTTTGAAGCTCTGTTCTAGGAGTATACATATTTGTAATTGATACATCTTCCTGAGTAATTGGGCCTCTTTAAACTTATCTGTGTCCTCATATTTAAAGTGTGTCTCTTATAGCAGCATATAGTTAGCCTTTTAAAAAGATGAATTCATTCCAACGATCTCTGTCATTTAATTGGAATGTTTAGTCCATTAACACTTAACTTTGGTCCTGTCATTTTCTAACTTTTGTGTTTCACCCAATATTTGTTTTCTGATTCTTCAAGCCAGTAAAACTGTCATTATTCATGGTACCAAGAGAGACCCGCCCTCAGACAAGGAACTGCAAACACTGGGAAACTCACCTAGTGACATTCCCTCTTTCCAAGTGTCAACTTTTGGTTGCTTGCTTCTGGAGAGAGAGGCAGGGAGAGAGAAAGATAGGGATAGAGATAGTGAGAGAAACGGCCTTTTTGTACGCATCTCAACGGGGATAGAGCCCGCAACCAAGGTATGTGCCTTAATTGGGAATTAAACCTGCGACCTTTTGGTCTACGGGATAATGCTCCAGCCAACTGGGCCATACTGGCCAGTGCTGTTTCTCCCTCGGTTTTTTAAGTGGAAATTTTTTCTGAGTATATGCACTTCCCACGGTGCTGTGTGAGTAGATAGATCTCTAGTGTCCATTAAATCCCAATAGATTCTGGAGTGGTCTATCACCACCGCCTTCTCTCCCTCCCTCAGACTTGACTTTAGTATAGTGTAGCTGCACTTCACATCTGCATAGTTATAAGTAATCTTCTGAACTATTAAAAAGCAACTTCCAACCATCTTTGCAAAATCCACACATCTTTCCAATTAAAGCATAGAAAATGACCAAGTGGAAATCCTCGACAACTCTTTTAAAAGCCCTATTGAGTTTGTAAGTGTTTAATTTATCTGTTTGAATTAAATATATCATGTCTACATCTATAATTTTATAGTTGATGATGGTTGTCCTCTAAAATATACCATTAAGAATGTCTTTGCATTTAGCAAGAGCATAAAATGAAGTAAAAATAACCTATTCAATAAGTGGTATTGGAAGAACTGGACTGGTACATGTAAAAAAAATGAAGCTAGACCACCAACTTACACCTTACACTAGAATAAACTCAAAATGTATAAAAGACTTAACACATAAGCCATGACACCATGAAAGTCCTAGAGGAAAACATAGGCAGTAAAACTTCAGAAATTTTCACCAGTATATCCTTTAGGGCAAGGGAAATAAAGAAAAGACTAGCCCTGGCTAGTGTGGCTCAGTGGATTCAGTGTCAGCCTGAAGACAAAAGGGTCGCCAGTTTGATTCCCAGTCAGGGTACACGCCTGGGTTGTGGGACAGGTCCCCAGTAGGGGGTGCTCAAGAGGAAACCACACCTTGATATTTCTTTCCCTCTCTTCCCTTCCTTCCCCTCTGTCCAAAAATAAATAAATTCTAAAAATATACTAAATAAATGAGACTACATCAAATTAAAAAGCTTCTGTACCACTAAAGAAAACATCATCAAAATGAAAAGGGAATGGATCTTATGGGAAAATATATTTGCCAATCATACCTTGGACAGGGTTTGATCTTCAAAATATCGGGTCTGGCAGAAGTAATGCCTGCTTGAGTATGGTTGGTAGGGTAATATAATGGCTGTAATAATTTATAGTTATAGTTCAAATTTAGGTAATTTGAATATTTTACCTAAAATGCTATATGTTGTGCTTGAGTGTGATATCGTTATGTTACAGAATTACATGCTTATGATTTTGTAATAAAATATTTTATAATAAAAAAGGGGCATTGTTTGCGATGGACCCTGTATATAAAGAACTCATAAGACTCAACACCAGGAAGACAAATAACCCAATGAAAAAATGGGCAAAAGACCTGAACAGAATCTTCTTCAAGCAAGACATACAGAGGGCCCACAGACAGGTTAAAAAGATGCTCAAGTCATCACTAGTCATAAGAGAGATGTAAATTAAAACAACAATGAGATACCACCTCACACTGGTCACAATGGCCATCATTAACAAATCAATAAAAACAAGTGCTGGCAAGAATAAGGAGAAAAGGGAACCCTAGTGCACTGTTGGTGGGAATGCAGACTGGTGCAGCTACTGTGGAAAACAATATGGAACTAAAAATGGAACTGCTTTTTGACCCAGCAATTCCACTGCTGGGATTATACCCTGAGAACCCTGAAACACCAATGCGAAAAAACCTATGCACCCCAATGTTCACAGCAGCATTATTTACAATAGCCAAGTGCTGGAAACAGCCTAAGTGCCCATCAGTAAGTAAATAGATTAAAAAAACATGGTACATTTACACAATGTAATACTATGCAGCAGAAAGAGAGAAGGAGCTCCTACCCTTCATGACAGCATGGATGGAACTGGAGAGTATTGTGCTAAGTGAAGTAAACCAGGCAGTGAAGGACAAATACCATGATTTCACTTAAATGAGGAACCTAACGAATAAAACAAATGAACAAAATACAACTAGAGGAATGGAAACAAGCAACAGACTGACATCGACCAGAGGGGAGGGGGGAAGAGCACAACGAGGGAAAGAAGAAGAAGGGGCTAATCAAACAGGTGTAAATGACCCAAGGACAATGATAACAAAGTGGGGACTGACTGGGAGTGCAGGGTGGGGGTTGGGCAATGGGAGGGCAGTGGGGGAACATTGGGACAACTGTAATAGAGCAGCAATACAAAAATGTCTTTGCATTCAAGTTGATATCACCAAATAACATTCTAAAGCAGAAATACATATGCAAGGAAAATTATATGAACACTTCTCAGTATATATTCCTTATTTTAAAATATAATTTCTTTTCCTTGTCTTTCATCCATAATTGCTTCATGGGTGTGGAGGCCTTGGGCTAAAGGGTCGTCCTTTCCTTTCCATGACTCGCTTTACTCTGTCTCTTCCTGCTGTCCTCTTCCCCTGCAATGTGAGTAGCCGGCATGAGATGGCTCCAAGTCAGTCATTCTTCAATGGACCATCCCAAGCATGACTGTGTGTGCTTTGTAGAAAATGGCGTTTCTCAGATCAGATGCCTCCGGGGCCCATGTAGGTTGAAAGAAAAAGTGAAAGGAAGGGAGGGAGGGAAGGAGGAAGGGAGGGAAAGGAAAGAGTGTGCAGTGCAATTAATGTGTGATTCAGTAGGGCTGGATGGTGGGGACCATGGCAAATATATTCCAGCTAAAGAAGGCAGCTGCTTCTCAGTTGCCAAGAGGGAATGTATGTGAGCCAGCGATACAAGATATTTAAATATTCAATGATAAACAAACAAACAAGCAAAATCCAGACTTTCATGAGAAATCTCCTGATTTTTAAATATTGAAAGCTAATTCAAACTAAAAAAATATTTATGAGCTGAACCTTACTTGAAAGTTTACTCTAACCTGTGGGACAATAGTTTTGCACCTTCTGAAATTCTGAGGTTATACAATTTTACTTTAAGGTTCTAGAACTATACTCTCCAATATAGTAGCCACTTGCTGAATGTGCCTGTTAAGCACTTGCAATGTGGCTCGTCCCCACTAATATGTGCTATAAACGTAAAATGCACAATGGATTTTGGAGAGCCAGTTCAAAAGAAAAATATGTAATATTTCATTAAAATTTTTTGTGTTAATTACATGTTGAAATAATATTTATTTTAAATAAAATACATTATTCAATTTAATTTTACCTGTTTCTTTTTACTTTTTAAAATGTGCTACGAGAGAATTTTAAATTGTGTTATATTTCTATTGGACAAAGCTGCTCCAGAATTTAAAACATGATCAAGTCTAACCACTGTCAAGTTAGGTAGCCAGTGTCCTGAGAGTCTACTGGACCAGCAGCAGTGAATGGGTGGTGGGTCCCACAGAGACACCATACTCAGTGAGCCCTGCTTGTACATTGTCCTCTCCTGTGACCTGCCAAGGACACTAAGAGAGCGGTCCCCGGAAGCTGCCCCTTTACAAACTATGATCAAAGGTAACTGACTTTATGAAGCTGATGTCTCTTGGGGACTGAGGTGGAGGAAATCATTGTGCCTATTTATCTGTGTTCATGTGCCACTCTGGGATGACAAAGGGGAGGGCCAGGGAGATAACTGCAGAAGAACCTAGTGAATTTGGTGGATATGAGCAGGCAAGCAACGGTTGCGGGGAGGGTCCCTCTGAAAAGTTGGCACCTGCATGTCTACAGCCAGTTATCACTATGTAATGGGACCCCTGGGAGACGATGGCAGGAACAGGAAGTATGAGTCAGGAAGGGACTTGTGTTTCAGGGGCACCATCTCTGGACTGGGTGCCCTGCTAGGTGTGATATGTAGAGCATCTCAGACAGGTTGTTATTTTCAGAGCTCTGCTAGAAAAACATTTGTTTTTTTGACCAGAATTACATCTGGGCATTTGTGCGGCAGAATCCCAGACAGAGAGTGATAAAGCAGAGCCCCAACGGACTTGCTGCTCAGTGAACTGGGAGACGTCTCAGTAAACGTAGGAAGCCCCTGGTCTAGGAGTTAGGATTGTTTTGGAGCTTTTGTGTTGCTTGAAAGTTGATTAATCACATAATTGGGATTTCTGCAATAGCCTCTGCAATAGCTACTACTTTGGTACTACTATTCATCTAATAAATATTCATGGAAATTATTTTTCAGAAAATCACCTCTTCGCCCCAGAAGTTAATCAGCTGCAGAAGGGAGGAGGTGGAAGCCTGCGCCACGAGCGCGCTGCCCCCCTGAGGAACTCTTCAGGACCTGGATCCAGTGGGCCCGGTGAAGCTGAGCAGCCCGGTCTGTGCGACACAGGCGCTGTGATGGGGAAAGGCCGTGCTTCTGTTTTTCTTCAAGGACAGAAGAAGTCAGAAGAGCCTTCTCCGTCCATTTCTAGAAGCAACTGTCAGAGGCAGAGCGGTCTGGCAGACAAAGCCCCGAGTGGGGGCCGGATACGCGCCCGTAGAACTGGAACTATTTGCCATCCACTAGCTGAATAACCCGAGGGAAAGGGACTTCGTCTCTCTGGCTCTCAGTTTTCTCATCTATAAAATGGGTGGATTAACTGTTACACCATATATGTATGTATCTCCAGCACTGGCAAAGCTGTAGGGAACTTGGTGGCACTGTACCATGCGATTGGTTCAGCTTTTCTGAAGAGCAGTATGTAAAAGTATAACAGGAATGATCAGAGACTCTGTACACAGCTGGCTTGGAGATCCCTCTTTCCTGGAGGAAGCCTTGAAAAGGAAAGGAAGGATGGGTGCGGTGGTGTTGATTTCACTTTAGGCCAAATGCCTGTGCAGAGGTGAAGGGCTCAGTCTGCTCCACAGTGACTGAGAGGGAGGCCACAGCCCCACTGAAACTGGGATGTGCAAGAAAGCTGTGGGGACACAAAACACTATAAAGGGTAAATAGTGTGTGACATTGAAGACAGCAGCTACAGTGACTGTGGATGATGAGATAGCCACGCAGAGGGATGTCATAAGTGTGATATTTGCTGTGTTCCTTTTAGAATTAAAAATAAAAAAGGGGTCACCCTGGATAATCTTTGGGGATCATTTCTTCCAAAATAAGTGGTGTTTAGGGTTCTAGTTACATCAAAAACCTTGAGTCCACAGAGGGCCCTGAAGACAACCTTTGGTCAGAAGGTGTGGGGCAACTCTAGGTCAGGGATGGGCATGGGAAGAATAAGGGGCAGCCTCTGACCACATGAGAACGCTGACCGAGGCAGCTGGCCAAAGCCTCGCCTGGTCAGGGTACTCCTGGGTCTTCCTGGAGGTCTTGCTTCACAGGAAATCCCTTTGGGGACCTCTTTTCCTTAAAATAGGTCACTCATGGTGTCCCTAGCCCCATTGCCTACCTCTGGAAGCCTCCTCCAGCTCCTATCCTCCACTAGAAGAGGAAAAGAGGGTCAGAGGAGGAACAGAGAGAGGAAATTTTTTGAGGGATGAAGGCATAGGTGGGCAGAACCTGTGCCTCCCTTAGCTCCCACCCCTCCCAGCTCTGGAGCCTCGGAGCTGGTTTGTCTCCATGCCACCTTCCTGGTCCCCTTACAGCCAGCTCTGCGGTGGAGACTAGCTAACCGCCTCAGTCAGGTGTTTCCTCTTACAAGACAGAGGCCTACAACCCTCTCTCCACCTGGTGGGGTTTCAACTAGTCAAAGGATGGGCTCTCTCTAGGAAGATGAGATCACCGAAGATCTTTTCCTTCTGTACCATTTTATATGCTTCTGTATTTGACTCTTACATGAAGAGTATTTGTTAATTTTATATTTGGCTTAAACTGTAGACATACTTTCAGTTTGCAAAAATAAAGACTGTATCACTACACGTAGCATCCCTTTCCTTCTACCCCCTTCCCAGCCCCTCCACCTGGCCACTGCCCTTCTGTCACCTAAGCCCAGAACCCAGAAATGACCCATGACTTCCCTCTGCTTGAGTCTCTTTCACAGTTAGTGCCCATTCCTTCTTGCTGACATACAGAGGTATACAGAAAGTGCTCTTGGTTATTCTGTTGTTTTCACATGTCCCCAACATGCGTTCACTAAGGCCCAAATATACACCAGACATTACAAGAGTCCCCACAGGAGAAGGGTGCCTCCTCTGTAGCTGGTGACGTCCTCTTCTCTCCTGGAGCTATGTTCTGACACTCCAGGCCTTCTTTCCTCCCCTCTGGGACACTTTAACAGTAAAAAGGGGCAGCGCAATTAATAACTACAACAGGACAACAATGAAGACTATCTATGTCCTGCACTCCTTGCTATTGCTCAACCCAGTAGAGGATGCCTGACCCAAGGATCAAGCCAAGCTTTCTCAGTCTTGCTTTCAGGGAACAACTGCCAGGGTCCAATGAACAAAATCCCCCAAAAGAGAATCTTGGCTGACTTCAATTGACACAATAAATTTGGAAAGTCATGACCACAAAGATGCACAAAAAGAGCAAATGCTAATCCAAAGAATTCTCAAAAAAGGTGAATAGAATGCATTTCTACTTAGTCTTATTATTCAATAGTGTTGGGCTTATTGACTCACTGTATCAATGAAGAATACTGGTAAATGCAAATGCACCAATCAGAAGGTATTCTCCACCGCCACTATTTCCTGGCCAAGGCCACGACTGGGGGTGGGGGAGTTGGGGGGGGCGGGGGGGGGCCTGAACGCCAGCATCAGCCTCCTGGGGGGGCTGCTCCACTTGCAATCTTTTTTGCCAGGGATTTCCTGCTAAGTCCTAAGATCCTTCTACAGAGGGACAGTAGACTAGCCTCGGTGCTACTCCGCTGCATATCTTAAAACATTTTCCCCCTGATTTTTTGTGTGCCTTATTTTTCCTCAGGCTAACTTTCTGTGGGTGCAGATCTCTGTTTCCTTTCAATCAGTCTGACTCACTTCCTTCAGGGAACGTTTGCTAGCTTCTGGAGCCCACTTGGAAGGAAGGATCTCATTCCGTCCACGGGAGTCTGGCGCCACCTTGTGTTGCATACTGGAAAATTCCTACTTCTGTTCTCACTCCCCGAGGAACGCCTGGGGCCTCCTGGAGAAACAAAGGGAAAGCTCAGACAAATTTCCTAGAATGAGAACTCAGTTACATCACTAAACTTAACGGGGGCGTCCCCTCACAAACTTGCACTGTCTTTAGTGGATTTAGAATTTCGTGGCCACAATCTCCTTACTCGTACTCATGTCAAAGTTGGGGCTTCACTCTGCTCACAGGGCTCTTTCTCCAAGCAAGGGATCTTGACCCCTACCTCACTGGCCTGGTTTTCTTCCCTCTGCTCTGCCTGTAACTACCTCTTATAAAAAGCCCCCCTTCGCCATTACGTGCCCCATATCTAGCCTATCCCTGGGCTACACTGCCTTTCTGGGGGCGTTCCTCAGGAAGACCTGTTAAACCACTGTGGCACCCAACCCGTGAAATTTGGAAACGCCATACAAGAGCTGACCTAAAATTACAGTTTTCTCTCGCTAGCTCATGGCTTCAGGTCCCCAAGCACCTAACAACAAAGGGTGGAAAACCCCATTCTTGCCAGAGGTGGAAGCACGCACATGTGGGACCAGGAGGCTCAAAAAGGAAGACACAGCCCTTCCTGCCTCCCTAGTGAGAGGCTGCAAGACCAGCAGAGGCTGTGAAACCCCATCAAGGATCTTGGAGGAAAAACTGAGCTTGGTATGCCAAGCTCAGGTACCTGCAAAAAGCTCCCAAGAAAGAGCAAAAGCACAAACTCTCCTACTGTGGAGGAGGTGTATGTCCCTTGTCCCTCCAGTGGACCCCCTCAGGGAAATTTAAAAAAAACACTTTTAAAAACCTGGTTGTTGGAAAAATAAGTGCCTGCACAAACCACAGGAGCTCCCACATTTTCCTCCTGTACTTAAACCACTAAACTACACTGGGGCCCACACCCCTCTAAATTTCTGGGTGGAGTCAGTGAGTCTTCTACCAAACTGCCTCAGTATAAGATGAACCCTACAAACATCAACTTGGGTTTCTGGCCTTGGGCGATCATGCTCCAGAACTAAGGCCCTCTGATGTGATCCTGCCTATGTTAACCATATGGAAGGGCCTTCTCAGGTGAGGCCCCTTTCACTGAAATTAACTTACCGTCGTCTCACCTTCACTTCTGAGTCTCGAAATTGGAAATAGTTCAAGATGGAATAATCCCCTGTCCTCAGATTAAGCCCGGATTATGGATGGCTGATGGAGTGGAAGAATACTGGATTTCAAATGAAGACTTTTAATTTAGCAGATGGCAGCAACAGATGCTCATGTTTTAATTTGTGTAACTGTAAGCAGCTCAGTTTTAATTTATGAGATAATTTCTTTTTCAGCTAAAAGGATTTGTCTGTCCTTCTTCTCCCTCTTCTTCTTCTTCTTTTTTTAAGATTGTATTTATTTATTTTCAAAAAGAAGGGAAGGGAGGGAGAGAGCGAGGGAAACATTGATTGGTTGCCTTTCACACATCCCCAACTGGGGACCTGGCCTGCAACCCAGGCATGTGCCCTGACCAGGTTTCAGTTTGCAGGCTGGTGCTCAATCCACTGAGCCACACCAGCCAGGGCTTCCCCCGCTCCCCTCCGCCTTTGCTTCCTTCAATATTCTTTCTTTTTTTTCTAGCACATTGTATAAAATTTTGTGTCTTTTTATTTTTATTTATTTTTTATTGACTCTGTTGAGGTGACATTGGTTAATAACATTAAACAGGTTTCAGGTATACAATTCTACAACACAGTGTACACCATCTGTACACTGTGTTGTGTGTCCACCACCCCAAGTCTCCTTCCATCATCATTTACCCCCACTTCACCCTCTTCTACCTCCCCCTCTTCCCTTCCCTTCCCTTCCCTTCCCTTCCCTTCCCTTCCCTTCCCTTCCCTTCCCTTCCCTTCCCTTCCTTCCCTTCCCTTCCCTTCCTTCCCTTCCTCCTTCCCTTCCCTTCCCTTCCCTTCCCTTCCTTCCCTTCCCTTCCTTCCTTCCCTTCCCTTCCCTTCCCTTCCCTTCCCTTCCTTCCTCCCCTCCCTCCCCTCCCCTCCCCTCCCTCCTCCCTCCCTCCCCTCCCCTCCTCCCCTCCCTCCCTCCCCTCCCTCCCCTCCCCTCCCCTCCCCTCCCCCCCCTCCCCTCCCCTCCCCTCCCTCCCTCCCCCCCCTTCCCCTCCCTTCCTCCCTCCCTTAGCTAACAAAGTTTTAAACTCTGAAGGAGAAATTTAACTTTGGGGTGGCAAAGACAAGCCTAAGGCATTAGGGTCACTGGCCTACCAAGCAGAAGCAGCTTTGGGGGGGGGGGCAAGTGAGTGTAGTCATGTTCTATTGATCCTGTTTGTTTTCTTTGGGCTGAAATGGACTTGGGTGCTGTGTCTGGGAATGAGTGCTGCAGAGACCCTGAGGGTAGGTCAGAGCATTTGGATAGACCTCCCACCCACCTGATGGAGGTGGAAGGGTTTGTAAATAATGGTGCTCACTGCATCTCTGACCCCGGAGAGTTCCTGCAGTCCCCATAGAGCTCCTGTGGTTCCCCAACCTCCTCTATACAATCTTTCTCTTATTTATTGTGCAGAAAGTAGTCTTGTGTAGATGGGACCTCTGTACAGGCCTTATGTATTGGGGCATTTGGGGAAGCTGGCTGGAGCTTACTACACCTGTGACACTGGCTTGCTGGGTTAGAGCATCTTTTGGGATGGAGGCCAGGTGTAGTGATGCTCAGTGGTTCTGCTTGTTCTCTTTGAAGGCAAAAGACTCGGAGCAATGTAGCTGTGAATGGGCTGTAGTGATCTTGCAGGTAGGCCAAAGCACTTGAATAGAGCTCTGCCCATCTATTGGAGGGGGATGTAAGCAGTGGTGCTCACCTCTCATTGGCTCCCAGGCCTGAATTCCCATGGCCCTGGTGGAGGCTCCCCAGTCTCCTAGTCTTCTCTACTTGTTCTCTTTCTCTTGTTTGTTCAGAAGCTGTTCATTCAGCCCTCAGTGGTCTCACATGAATAACTGCTCTCCATGTGTGTGTATTTTAGTTTGCTCATGGGAGGGAGTAAGTACAGAGTTCTCTTATATTGCTGTCCTCTTAGACTTCTAAGTGTTGCCACTTTGGAAATGAGCTTGTCCACTCTGCTGAATGACGGAGTGAGATGACTTGGGGCTGGTCCATGTGTCTTGCTTGTCTAGATCAATGGTGTTTGAGACATGACTGAAAGACATCTGATCAAGATGGTAGAATGAACACATATCAAATCCTCTTTGTAAACTCCTCCAAACACAGAGGTATGACAGACAAAACACACACACACACACACATACACACACACACACACACACACACACACACACACACACACAATCTTCATGAACCAATAATGAAGAATAAATCTTCAGAGCAAGCTGATGATATGTATCCCAGGGGTAGAGGAACTGGGTATACATAGGCTGGGCTGCAAAGCTCATGTGGGATCGCAGATGAGTATACTGCATGCTTGGCAGGAGAGTGGCCCTGTGCCCACTACACCAAGCTGGGGCTGGGGCTGGTTGTCTCATCCATCCAGTGAATGGAGGCTGACAACCCTCCAGACATGTGCTGCTTGCCCATGGTGCAGAGAGAAAGAGGGACATCTTTGTAAAAAAATGGGAACTGGGCTGGTCCTGCACAGAACTGCAGCATCAGAAATTTTGTTTCCTGAGAGCAACATGTCAAACTCCATAATGTAAGACCTAGTCTGGAATGTGCAAACCGGGAAGAATGTGCTAAGGCAGCTGCAAAAGTTCCAACATGAAAGGATTTGTTCATGGAAAACACTCCCATGTAGAATGAGCTTCTGAAAAAAAATGACGGAG